CTTTGCCAATGATATTGGAACCGTGGCTGCTTCGGCCAATGCTGCAGACAAGTTGGCTGCCAGCAAGAAAAGGAAGGCTGTATTAGTGAGTTTGCTGTCTGCAGAAGTCTACTCGATTTTGAGGAGCCTCTGTCTGCCAGCGAAAGTAGCTGACAAGAAACTGTCGGAGATTTGCGATCTTTTGAGGAAGTATTTTCAACCTGCAATTTCGCAAGTTTCGGCGACGTTCAATTTCCATCAGTTGAAGCAGAAGGAAAATGAGTCGACTGCGGATTTCATCATTCGTCTGAAGAGATTGGCTGTGAGGTGTGAGTTTGCTGATCACCTCGATCGAGCGCTTCGAGACCAGTTTATTGCTGGCTTGAGCAGCTCATCCACTCGAAATTTCTTATTGACGAAAGAAGATACTTCGGCACAGTCGTTCAATGACATCGTCAAACTAGCTTTGACGCAGGAATCGGCGGCGCGCGCAGCCGTGCAGCTGACCTCTCAGCAGGAAGTGCACAAGGTGAATCACCGGCCAGTGGAATCGCGTTCGCAGCCGCAGTCTGGTGTTTCTCGTCAATCTCATCAATCTCGAGAGCAGAGATTGTGCTACCGCTGTGGGTCTACTCAACACTTGGCGGATAAGTGCAAACACAAGGCCACTGAGTGTCGTCACTGCCACAGGAAGGGGCACTTGGAGCGTGTTTGTCGGCAGAAATCCACGTCAGGCGCGTCGGTGCACAATGTTGTGACTGATGACGCAGGTGAGCATGAATCTCTTGATCTTGAGTGCATGCCAATGTTCCACATTTCGGATCAGGGCGAATTGAAGAGCAAATCTGTTCCCTCCTACAAATTGGAAATTGCTGTGAATGATGTTCCTGTTGTAATGGAAATCGACACGGGCAGTGGCATTTCAATCATTTCTGTCCATGATTTTGAGTCACTTGGGGTGTCTCGTACAAATTTAACCAAACCGAGTGTACGCATGACCGGTTTTTCTGGGGCAGAAATCAAATGTATTGGTGAAGGGAAGTTCAATGTCAGCATTGATGGTGTGGAGAAACCAACACTACTCCGTGTGGTGGATAATGGTGGTCCGTCATAGTTGGGCAGGGATATGTTGTCCCAATTTACTCTACCGTGGAAACAGATTGTCAATGTCAATCATGTTCAAATGGATGGTAGGAGGAGAGCTCTCATTGAGGAATTTGAGGAGCTGTTCGATACGACTCAGGTTGGCAAGCTGAGGTCGGCTCAAATCACCCTGAGAGTGGATGATTCTGATCCAATTTTCCACAAGGCGCGTCCCGTACCGTTCTCTATCACGGAGAAGTACGAGGAGGCTTTGGAGAAATTGGAAGCAGAGGGAGTTATTCGCAAAGTTGAGCACTCCAAATGGGCATCGCCTACTGTGCCAGTACTGAAACCGGATGGTAGTATCCGAATTTGTGCTGATTACTCTCGCTCAATCAATGCCAAGTCTGATTTGGAGCACTACCCGCTACCTAGTATTGAGGAAATGTTAGCGAAATTGTCAGGGGGAGATAAATTCACCAAATTGGATCTCTCCCAAGCCTATCACCAACTGGAGCTTGATCCAGCTTCTCGGCCGTACACAACAATCTCTACTCACAAGGGGTTGTATGAATACGTGAGATTGCCGTTTGGCATTCACTCGGCAGTGGCAATTTTCCAACGCACAATGGAATCCATATTGGCAGATCTGCCTGGGTGCATCGTCTATGTGGATGACATCCTGATTACTGGGAAGGATGAGGATGAACATCACAACAACCTGATCAGGGTACTACGTCGCCTACAGGAGGTCGGGATGAAGCTTAATCCCAGTAAGTTTCATTTCATGATGGATGAGATTTCCTACCTGGGTCACACGATTTCTAGTGCTGGTGTGGCTCCTACAGCGGATAAGATTGAGGCAATGCGGGACGCTAAGGCTCCTTCGAATGTTAACGAGCTTCAATCATTCATTGGAACGGCGAATTTCTTGCGACGGTTCATACCTCATTTCGCAACAATAATGGTACCTCTGTACAATCTGGTGAAGAAATCTGCTGAATGGCAATGGGACCCCGGAATTTCAGTGCGGCCAAGCTGTCCTGGCTTTGAATTTCGGCAAAGGAGGAGATAAGTGGGGCCCAGCCGTGGTAACGGCAGTTCTCAGTCCGATGACGTATCAGATACAAGTCGGTGATGCAATGTGGAAACGCCATCGCAACCAGCTCCGTCCTCGGCAAATCCCTCAGTTCGATGCAGGGCTGTCTGAGCAGAGTGGAGCAAGTTTAACAGCTCAGGTTCCGTCACAGCCGGTCTCAGCAACAACCGGTACTAGTGAGTCTGCGTCGGTTAGCACTTCACGTGCCAGCTACAGCAAGACGTCGTCACCGCAAGCTGAACGACGGTCAACCCGCGCTACTGTTCGACCAGTTCGTTTCAAGGATTGACGTTCAGAACACACAGTTCATATAGACCTACTCTAGTCTGTGGAGTTTTAATGATATATTTTGGACTCTGCTGGATATTGTATATAATTATATATTTATGGTGTATATATGGTGTATAGTGTATCATGAAATATTATGTCTCGGCAGTTGTGAGTTTTGTGATTGCATCTTGATATGTTTACTATTGCGTAGTTCTAGATGCTTCGCCTCAACTAGTGAGGGGGAAATTGTCTTGTCCTGGACATGGACCATATGTATGTAGTGCGCATGCTCGCACGTGAGCTGGGTCTTTTTCGGATATGGAGTTTGAGACGAACTGAAATCTGTAATGGCCTCAAATGTGTGTGTGATCGAGCTGGATGAGTCCGAGTAGAACCCACCTGGGGTAGGACACAACAGAAACGCATTACAAAATGAGCGAAACTTCAATGCTATTGTATGTAGCGGCATTGGGGCAGTTTTTTTCTTTCCAGTGCATGTATCTCTCTTCAATGCATACATATTGTATGTCCAATGAAACTATCAAAATAGCATCGCTACTATGCAGGATCGCTCAGGCAAAGAATAGAGAGGTTAAGGTGCATGTTATTTCCAACGTGACGCGCAATTTCACGTCAAATTTGGCGTAAAACTCCAATTTCAAAGTGAGCTGGTCACTCGCGTTGTTTTTCGACGCGAGCCAAATAACACGAGCTGCACTTTCGCGTCACGTCAGAAATAACGTGCTTCTTAACCTCTCTAATACAGTGAGCTGGACTCACTTGACGGGCTTGCTGGTGTTTTCGGGCCATGCCTGTCCAGAGCAAGGCTTCTCTTTGCTGATGATAAGCGGGTCATCGAGTACCTGAAGCCAGTGAGACAACAAAGCAGCCAGAGAGTTGTATAGTTCCAAACTCAAAATGATG